CTATGGTATAACATAAGTCTAGAAACGATGCAAATAGTATTATTTTAGGAGTATCGATAGTAGTACCACTATGAACGATGATAGTATTATCAATACCCTAGTTTTTAATTTTTTTTTCCTTGATTTGCTCTAATTTTTTAGGGCTTTTAGGGGTTATAAGTACCCTTTCTCTTTATACTTATTTACTTGCTTTAGTTAGATTTCATACAATTGCTTCCATCAAAATTACAAGTTTTGCTTAAATTTACACACGTACTACTTTATCCTCCTCCCTGTTAATGTCATTACTAATCCTAAAATTATCACCTTCAGCTTCCTCCACTATCTCATGCTCTCCCCTTTCCTCTGTGTTTGACAATATTAACCCTTCCCTTTGGAACAACCCCCTCGGCCCATGCAACTTCGACCGCTACACCCCACCCCCGTCTCTCTCCCTCTTCCGTTTTGTCAATGGATTTGACTCCAAGGTTGACTCAATACTATCTTCATCTTCATCCACTACCCGTCTCCTCCCCCTCCCATTATGATTTGTCCTATGAAATTATTTTAAATTTACACAAAATAAAAGAATATATTGATTCATTATTTGGATATTATTACCCCTTCACGGTGAAAGTGCCAAGTAAATTTAATACCTCTGCCGTCACACTCATAATTGAACATCGTTAGATTTGTTTCCAAGATCATGCTGAAAATATATTGGTTTTTGAATATAACTCTCCTTAAATTTACACAAAATAGGAAAAAAACAAAGTGTGAGGTAAAATGGATAATATTTGTCATTTACATTTATTCATGAACATGGTTATAATCATTTTCAAAATAGATATTTTTATATTTTATGTGAATGTATGGATGTTTATATTTAGATTTGGCTTCTAAAAATGAGTGTAAGGATATTCATTTATAATTATAACAACATAAATATTATTAATTTCACCTAAAACTTTCGCAAGAAAGGGGAATCAATGGTATTTTTATTTTTACATGAATTAAGATATATTTTTATATATTTGAAATATTTTAGTATGATTCTATTTTATATAAAAATATCTATCTATGAGTATTAAAATATTAAAATATTATTTATTTATCTTAGACCTCCGCATGATTTAAAAATGAATATGATGGCATCATTTATGTGTGTAATAATATCTAAATATTGAATCAATATTTTTTATTTTTATATAAATTCAAAGATATTTATATTGAAGCAAAACAAATTTTTACTATAATTTTGAGAACGAGTCAATGAATTTCATTATGTGTGTGAGAGATAATCAAAAAAGCTAGACGTGACGAGGGATCGTAATAAAGAAGTCAAGATTGTCAATGGAATCAAAAGGGAGAGAGTAAGAGCAATGCAAGAAGTTAGGGGGGAGTGAGTGATCCTCAAGCGAGAATTCAACATTGTTGATGGTGGGTTGAGGAAGAGGACCAATGAAGTCAAAGTCAGTAAAGAGATTGTTCCTAAGGGAGGAGACAAGACGAAGGATAAGAGGATAGATAAGGGAAATGAAGAAAGTTGAAAGTAACAAGGAGTCAAAATTATCAACGAAAGGATAGAAAAGGAGAGAGGTTCATCCCAAGGGGAGAAATCAAAATCCTTAACATAATAAAGGAGAGAGGATGAGTTCACTACAAGAAGTCAAATGTATCAAAGGGAGAGAGGATCATAAACTTTAGGAAGTTTTAATCGATTTACCTTTTTAATTAAAATTATCATAATCAATTAGATTGATGATGGAAAAAGTACCAAAATGTGCTTATATGCTATCTTGAACACATGAGAGATAGAGCTACCTCTGAAGGTTAGACTGTTGAGTAACAAGTGCTGTAGGTGAAATAATTTTATGTCACTGGTTACATTCTATTGACTTGATTTGCATTTCTTTTCTTGAAGTTTCTTGTCTCTCTTCTTTGCTTCTTTCATATACCTAATATTGAGTTGCTTGATTGATGTAGGATGAGATTTTCATCTACTTCTTTTCTTGATTGTTTTTCTAATTTGAAAATAAAGGAAGGGAATGAGAGAGGAAAATAAAAATAATAATAATAATAGAAGAAAAGGGACAACACTGCCTCACAAAGAGAATTTTTAGGATGAAGATCTTGCACATATGTATGCCACGCAGGTCGGACTAATACTATCGGAGAAAGAAATATGACATCACACTTCTCATGCATAATGTAGGGGGGAAAAAATCCTAATTTATTTCATAATTTGTGATCCCTTTACAACACCTTTTTCACTTGTTAAACTACCTAAAAACAACAAAAAAATGAAGAAGAAGGATAACAATTACATCCCATAAATCATCACATATCATTCACTACAACTCCCACTCTTTGAAAAAAAATATTTTTTTTTTTAAATTTGATTTGAGGAATATTTTTTTTTTTCTCTTTATAGCATATCTCTAATGATATATTTCCATCCCTGAGAATCTTCCTCTTAGAGATAAAATCTTTTTACTTTTTTACTTTAAAGATTTTCAATCAATTCTATTATTGTCTCCTTCCTTTGTTTAACTTGGTTTTTTTTTTCTTTTTCTTAGAAAATCTTGGTAATAACTCTAAAATTGTAGCAAATCAAATGTTGCCACGTAGTCACTTATAAAATTTGCAAGAGATACCTTAAACTGAAAGATATATATATATATATATATATATATATATATATATATATATATATATATATATATATATAAGAAATAACTAAAATGGTACCACATAATTGATTCATGGACCAATTGGGCATTCGAAGAAAATCAACAATTGGAGGTGAGAAAATTTTTATTATGATATTACTTTTAAATTTAAAAGGTCCATATATATGCATATTTTGGTGGTTGAGTACTGTCCATGCATTGCATATATATACATCTAAATTGTACTATGATATTAAAAATGCCTTTTATCAAGATATTGAGAAGAAACAAAAAAAGTGCAAAATCTCAAAGTTCTACGAGCTTGATGGGGTAGATGACTCCAAAGAATACCTGGAAACTAGGTAGGATATCACTTGGATGAATAAGCATTATACTTTATACCAAATCAATAGGACAGGGAAGAAAAAGAATAGCATTTTAGGCTAACTTTTCCCACAATTTCATGTGCTTCATCTCTGATGCCTTTAACCCGGTGGTGGTTGTCATCCTTCATTTAGGAAACATCAGGTTTACTGATGGAAAGAAAGAAAAAAATATTCCTATCGAATTTGATGAGATAATTATAATTAATATATTAACTTATGGTCCAAAATACCTAGGTTTAAATTAAAAATCTAAAGGTAGTTGAATCATGTGGCTCTTGCAAGCTCTCTTAAATTTTTATCAGTGATTAGTAGTACATTTATCCGTTATCCATTACTAATCCTTGTTATCCATTTTCGATGTATGACTAGTTTGTCGCGATGCGACTTAATAAGTAATGTATTAATTTGTTAATTCTAAACTAGTAGATTCTTCTAGTCTTCATAAATTATTTAATATTTTTTTACTTTTATGTAAAACTAAATCAAGATGTTATAAAATATTAAATTTTATATAATCATTGAGGTTATGTATTTTCGAGCTCTTTCTATATCAATCATAGTCCTAGTTACCATTTGGGAGTATCGAACCTGCAAAACTAAGAAGAGACATTCCTAATAAATGTCTCTCTCATAATTAAATTATTTTAAGGTTATCGGATAGCTTTGGTAAGAATATATTTTCAATACGCGAGGGAATGCACGTGAGAGCCCTTCGTAGGTAGGTGGCTTTGAGGATCATGGGGTGATCACATACTATTCTCAAGTCAGATGGAGAGATAATGATATCATGTTCATCAAATTGGTGGCACTCCTTGGCTGACAAAAAAATGATGCCATGGATTGTCAACGTGTTCATCACATATTATGTGACGATAAAATCTCCATGATATCATTTACCATCTCATTTATAAAACATATTCTATCATTTAAAGTGCCATGTAAAAAAGCACTGGCTGATTATTATTATTATTATTTTGGGTAATGAGAACATAGGAAAAGCATTCGATCAAGCAGTATTTCAAACGGAGAGTATTTTGTTTTTCCATGAACAAATATCAAAAAGTTCCTTTGAGCAAATTGACACCCTTTGTTCAGCATGCATTTCTAAGTTTCACTTACTTTCTGTATGCCTCACCGAGCACAGTTTGAGCAGGCCCTGTAAATGAGATCAAGAACAAGTATAGCTGTCAAAGTCTCAAATCTGGATCTTAAGTAGCTTACCGATTAAAATGTATTCAACACAAACAAAATTAACAGCTTCAAGGACTGCTCAGTTTGCCATTTGTGGTAAGGTACCATCGAGACGACCGATATTTGACCATACGATCTTTAATATGTGATTCCTAATTTTTAAAATATTAGTTTTCACATGTCGTGTGTTATTAATATTTGAATGTTTTTTTCAACAAAAGTAAGAGAAGCGTAGGAGATTTTATTATAGTATGTATCGTGTTAGTGGTGACATCAATGTCATTATCGATTAAACTTTAATTAAATTTTTAATTGATATTTTTTATTTTATTTTAATTAAATAATTTGATAAGTTAGGGATTAATTTTATGAAAGAAAAAAGACAATATTTTCTTTTCTTCGCCCCCTTCGTAATAAATTTTATTCAGGCGGATGCATGTACCCAAACATAACACCGTTATTGGGAACCGGCAGCAGGAACGGAGGGTGGTGTGGCTTCCCCTGTATCCCGTGCCTCGACCGGGGCAGGCGTCAGGAACAAGCCTCGGTAGATCCCGCGACGCGAGGCCCCCGGCGTCAGTGAGTGGACAAAATCCCTGTTCCGTGCCTCCTCCGGGACAGGGGATGGATCCTGGCGGCGGGCCCCGCCTCGGACGAAACGGCGTCCGCAGCTTCAAACCCTGACGCTTTAAATGACGCCGTCGACGGGCCCACCCGGGGAGTGCCCGATAAAAGGCCGAGGGAGAAAACGGTAGCAGCGCCCTCACCACCTCCGTCCCCATCCTTCACGCATCTCGAAGGATTCCATCTTCCCTTTGCTTTAGGGATCCGCTGCCGCTCTCTCGTGCGATCGTTGTTGTAACGTGGGTAACTTCGATGATTATGTTTTGTAGATTGTTATGTCTTACTTGAAATCTTCTTCTTCTTCTTCTTCTTCTTCTTCTGATGGAAACCGACTAACGAGAAGGTTGTCTTCACTATTAGCATGCAAGGAATTTTGCCTAGTTCTTGTACTCGTTATTTAGGTGTGGATTATTGGACAATGATTGTCTAACAAATGGAATTGGTTCTTTGGATCAGAACGATGAGCGACAAGATAGTAATAACCTACAAGCGAAAGCGTTCCTCATCACAATCTGATCTTACCAAAGCCAGAAAAGTTGATTCTTCGGAAAAGACTGAGCAGGAAATGCTCCCAAAAGCTGAACTTGATGCTTTCGATGAGAGGTTTGATCAAGTTAGCGTGGTAACGAATCAAACCTATTTTCTTTTGCATAAAGATGAAAGTATGATGCACTTTGTATTGCCCGTTTTATTTTCTTTTGTTTAACAAGACAGTGATGTTTCTTTTAACTGAATAAAACTATTGTTTTCTTTGGTGGTGTAAGGATTTGATTGTACTTTTTTTTATAAATCACAATTAGATTTGTAGATTGTATCAATTCACAATGTGACCATGCTTTATGTTTTACCTTCAGTCCGAATGCTACTGCTCTAGAAATATCTGTCAGAAAGCATTCACATTGAGACTAGCAACTTTATGCTATTGTATATCGTAATTGCCAAACATGTTACAACTTCGCATCAGATGTCTCCAAAGTGAACTGAATGTGTGTTTGTGTGTGACATTACATGCTTTTAAGAACTTTATCATGTTGGGAATTACCCCTGGACGGGAACTATGGTGGAGGACGATTAGATTATCGTCCCTAAACCCTATATAATGTTGCGTCTCATGTTACATTCAACATATATGCTAGTTCATTGGAAGCAGAATGGATAGGAAGGTGAAGAAGTTATTGCAACATTAATTCTAAAGTACTACTTAAGAAGGGATTAATATGATAAATTGCCATCTAATTCCAAAGGAACATTTTTGCTTGCCAGTGAGAAACAGTTAAGTTTTAGGTTAGACATTTTTTTTCCTTATACCGCTATAAACTTAGTCTATTTTCCAAGATGCTTTTGTTTTCTTAATTTGGCATTGTAAATATCAAGGAATGCTCTTATCCTTTTAAGATGTTTTGCGCTTTTTCATATGTAAACCATATGTCATGTCCCATCGGATATTGACTTTACATAACTAATGTATATTGTCATAGATTATTTTTCTATCATCACAATATGAATATCTGCTAGTCACGTAAGTTGATTCAGTAATCCATACCGATATTGCACTCATGCCATTTTCTTCAGCATATAAAAGGTAAAGATTTATATATATGATTGTTTAATTTTGTTAAAATTGGAAAGTAATAATGTTGGTGAGTTTATTAGGGAACCTTGAATGTTATGGAGAACTTAAAACTCGAACTACTTGATGATGTGGATTAGTATAGTCCAGTACTACCTTAGTTATAGAATTGATTTAGTGTTCGCAAGGCACTAATTTTTGTTTGAAGGAAGTTTTAGTGGCTTACCATATAGGATTTGATTAATTTATAATTACTAGCTATTCCTGGGACCTCTTAGTTCTGCATTTCTTAGGTAAAATTTTGAAAGTATCCTTTGCCTCCATTTTTATCTTTTTATTCTGACATATGAATCCTACATCTATTGGGAGCCTACTTTAGTGGACCAGGATTTACAGGAGGGAGGAACTTTATATGGATATCTGATTTAGAACCTTCTTTTTGTTGTTGTCCATCTACTTACTTCTTGAGATATTTTCTCTTTGAATTTTGATGGCTTTGTTGGATAAATTGACGATAAAATATGCTGCATCAAGCTGTTCCCCATGCCTTCAAGGTGCATTTATTTTGGCCTTCTGGCATGTGAAAGAATGATGTTTATAAATTTTCCATATTAGGAGAGAAATTCTTGTATTCTAACTTCTTAAACTATTTGTGGCTTCTCGCTAGATCCATTCTTACCTTCATGACGACTTTCCATTTCCTTTGAGTGTTTATTAACTATGCCACCCACACTATTGTTACTGATAAAATCAGGTCAATAAAAAAATACATGGGTGCAGGAATCAAATCATGGTACTGTTGATCTAGAAAATGCTGTAAGTTGGAACTTTCACTCAGTTGGACCTGACTTCCTAGTGTTATTTTTTGAAGAAAGTGCTTAGAATATATGAAGTCCTTTTCTATCTGATTATCATTTTTCTTTTCCTATAATAAGTGATAACTTCAATCTAGCAGATGTTGACATTCTTTGGTTGTTTGAACCATGGTATGCAATTTCGAATAGTACTGCCCGGTACGGGCGGTACGTATCGGTCCGACGACATATCGGTACGTGGACCGCCCGCTACCGGACTGAACGTGCTACAGTGCTACAGTGCTACAGTAAGAGGAAGAAATATTTAAAACCACTCGGTACGCCCTGATATACCACTCGGTACGCCCTGGTGTACCGAGCAGTACACGATACCGTACCATACCGAGCCAACCTCGAAACACCGGTACGGTACGATATTGCATTCCTTGGTTTGAACATGTACCACATGCACATACATAATGAACGTTGGTTTTTGGTGCTGTCATGATTGTTCGAAAGTTGGATCCTAATGACTTATTTTTACATGAATTTAATTCTTTATCATCCATCCATTTGATAGCTAGTTCCTATGGTGATTTATCTGATCATCACACAGGATGATACAGCACTGGCTGTCTACTGTTAGATCATTAGAATTGTAACTATAGCATAATACCACTTGGTTAATGTGGTTTAGGAATATGGAGTCTATAGTTAAATTGATGTGTCATAAACTGGATAAAAACCTTAAGGAATGCATCCAACTTGATATCATAAATAAGTATTAGTAACTTTCTAAATTGAACAAAAGCATGTTTCAGCATTAGATTGCGAGACGAGACACTAACAAGTGCATCACGTATGAAGAAAGCAGAGCCTTGAACTTTCTAGTCGATCTACTAAATCAAGAAATAGATGGATTATTTCCGGACATCAAATGTAGTCTTTTCCTGGTTTAGTTTAATGGGTCGATTTACTTTCAATGTAGTTAAATTTTTTAAGAATAGGTTATCATGTTATTTTCTAGTTTTCATGTTGTTTATGACCAATCTTGATATATTTGTTAATAGACGATATGTTATTATATAAATAATACTATTCTTGCTTCTCAATGAATATGGTTGCCTTGTATAACCGAAAGTGGAGTCTTGTATGGCAGGTTTCTTGTTTGATAATGTGAACTCTACATCTCTATATGGTACAATTTCTTAATACTTGATAAATCTAGTATCTCTGATATTTAAGTTGCAGCATATATTGCTTACTGTGATTCAATATCTTCTTTGGCTTCTTTTCATGGATAACTGTTATCAGTGATACAGTTATATGATAACTGTATATTGAAATATTAGATTCAGGCTATATATTGAGGTTTAAGCAAATATAAATAAAACAGAATGAAAACTGTAGTTGAACTGTGCTTGAGTTTAGTTAAAACAGACCAGATTGAGCTCCATAAGTCCAATGCTCAGCTTGGCTGGCTTACCTGGAGTGATATTAAGTGGATAACACAAGATTTATGTGCATTTTTATTCAGTATAAAATTAAAAGCCAGTGATTGTTGGTAGGGAGTTGCCACTGCATGCTGATATCATACTGAAGCAGTAATACTCAATGAGACAAAGAACTTGGGGGTTAAAGAATGAGAAAGAGTGGCCATCTCTAAAATGTTATCAAGCAATTCTGCAACAGTTCTTTCAGAGGAAAATGCAAATTTTAAAAAAATATTTATTCTAAAATTTCATCATTTCATTCTATTTGTTGACAATTTAGTTGAGGAAAATGCAAAATGTCATCAAGGCTTCGAATGTTATTGCTAACTTTGCCCTGTCAGATTTTTTTGGAGTCACTGATTGCATTGAACTAAGCAAGAAACCAAACTTTAATTTGTCATTACTGACACCACCAGCAAATTGTTAGCTTATTTTGAAGCATTGATTGTATAAACAAAATGCTTAGCTTCTCCATATTTCTAGGACTCTTCATCTAAGGGAACAAATTATTTTCTTGTTGAGAACATCAACATTTCATTTGCCATTATTGTCCTAAACCCGATCTTTCAGGCCTTATTGATTTCAAGCAGGATAAAAAGACGTTTAATAGCAAGGTATGCAATTTCAAATAGTATCGTCCAGTACGAGCGATACGTACCGGTTCGACGGCATACCGGTACGCGGACCACTCGCTACCGTACGGAACGTGCTACAATGCTACAGTAAGATGAAGAAATATTTAAAACCGCTCGGTAACAGTGATATAGTGCTCCAATGGTCAAATTAACCGTTGGAGCCCTTTCTCATAGTATTTAAACTCTTCTTCTCCCTTATTTCATTCCATTATATTCTCATACTCTTTTAAACTATCTCAAACTCTTTTTTTCTCACATTTGTGCTCTCATAAACTCTACAAAAGAACGATTTATGAATTGAATCGAGACTAATTTGGGAAGATTAAGAGGAAGAACTTTCTAATCAACAGGTGTGTTTACATAAGAACAATCCATAATGGACTGAAATACGAACCTTGCACAAGATATTCTTTAAAGCCCGAAAAAGATATGTAATACTATTCTTACCTAATTTAAATTGATTTTGCTAAACTTATGCTATTACTATATTTATTTCTAACTTAAAAACCCTATCCTAACTTCTTTTTTTTTCAGGTATTTTCGGAGGGTTTTACACTTGAATTAGGTGTATCACTTGGTACACGGTACCGTACCGTATCGAGCCAACCTCGAAACATCGGTACGGTACGGTATTGCATACCTTATTTAATAGTGTTCTAGAATGAAACCACTAGAATTATAGTGGTTTGATTGGTGCATTGAGCCTAAGGACTCATAATTTAGAAAAAACGATTTTTTTTTTAATTTGGTGCTCTTGTAATGGAATATTTTAATCTAAATCAGTAGGGGTAAACTTGTCACGTGTAATAACACTTATGTTAATAAGCAAGGAAGAGCATGGTACTCTTCCAAGTAAATTTTTTGGCACTTTCGTTCAAGCTTATTCAGCAAGAAAATAGACCAGCCTGTTTCTTATTCGATCAAGCATATAATTGCTTTCTCTTTTGAACTAACTACCCATATAAGGCATCATATCCGGTTCATGTCATTGCCATCCTTGTGGGAGTTACGACAATTAAATTTAATTCGGAGCATATCAAGATATATAGAATATGATGAATGATATGATTCATCATACTCCATGCATCTTATTAGCATAAGCCACAATTTTCTCGTAAGCTGAGATTTGCTTCGGTGATGTTGAGATGGATGTGCATGTCTAGTAAGAGATAGGTTAGATGTTTAAATTCATGAATATGTATTTCACCGGTTAGGTAAGGTGAGTAAATTTGATTGTGGTGCCAGGAGTTGATGTAAAAATACTCTGGGAGAAACGGTGAGGGATGTGATGCCTCTTAGTTTCTAGTGATTTGAATAGAGCTCAATTGCTGAAAGTGTTTCATGTCGCCAAATGGTGTAGATTATGTGGTTATCTTCGGTATTTGAATATTTAAATTATGAAATAAATGTAATTAACTCACTGTGCTATCTCTGAGATTGTGTATGTTATGCTATTAATGTGACTAACTCAATATGGTATGTAGGTGAATTCTGATAGTTGGAACTTATATTGCATGGTTGAATGGATCAAGCATGTTGAGAGTGAATTTGGTTCTCTGCATGCAATAGTTCTTGCAAATTTGAATGTTATGCTATTAATGTGACTAACTCTCTTAAAACATTTTGGACAGATGCCTGATATTGGAAAAGAAGCCGCAGCTAAGATTGAACCACATGAAGCCTTTTCTCGAGCGAGATGGTAAATTTACTTTTTAGCTCATGGTTTTACTCTCTATTCTATGTTTTGGTGGCAGCAGTAGTAAGTCTGTTTGTACACAGTGATGCAGAAATAGTTGGAGAGTCACAACCTCCATGTTCCCACGGTGAATCTATGGGGTTGACCACAACTGACACAACAAAAAACTACATTACAGTTGAAAACGAGCAGCCAGATTTAGCCCAAAATGAGATAGTGACCAGAGAGGAAACAGGAGATAAGGTGGTTGAGGAGAGAGGTCATGAGAACCTTGTTAAGCCTCAAAGTTCTACTCCAAATCGTGCGGCAGTATTGCCGGATGAGAATAGTGATGGTAAGGCCAAAAAAACAGAAGGGCTGGTAAATGTTGATAAGGCACTGCAGGAGTTCTCTGATGTGGAGAGGATTGGTGTGTATAGCGGACAGGCATCATACAGAATGGCTTCTTCCTCCTTGCGCCCGGTTGGTTCATCTGTGCAGAATCAACTTGATCCGGTGAGTTCTAGCATAAGAAATTAGCACTCTTAGGAGGCTTGCTGAACCTGCCGGTTTACTATGATTCGGCCGGTTTGGCTGATTTAGTATGGTACGATCAATATTTGCCGATTTGATAGTCGAAGGCACACAGTGTCCAATATATATATATATATATATATATATATATTCTTTTAACTAGGGTTCGGGCCAAATAAGTAAAATATAAATTTTATAAATTATAAAAAAATGATACAAAATAAATAAAGGAATAGATAAAAGATTTGACCACCTCCCAGAGATTAGATTTTTCTTTTTGTTAATCAACTAAATTTTTCGTATATGCTCCCCGCCATAGAACTAAAAAAAAAAAAAAAGTTATTTTTATAGCATGTCTCCCGTCCCCATTTTTTTTATTAATTTCATTTCCATTTCATTGAATGGCAATAGAGTAAACTTATTTTTTCTATTAGATCGTTCATATATTAATCAAATAAATTCAGCAAAAATTAACTAACTAATTTTTTTCTTTGTTTGGTGAATACTTTCTGCTGGTTTTTTTTGTTTATTAAACCCTCACTAACTAGTCCTCTTTACAAGCCTGCCTGTGTTTTTTCCGAATGCATATTATTTTAAATCAAAATGAAAGGAAAACATATGTTGTGCGTATTATATATTATTGTTGTAAGACGATTACTTTTTTTCTCTTGGCCTCAGGAAAGCAGATCAAAAGGAAAACTATCGTTCTCAAATTTAAGATGCCCTGCACTTAAAAAGCATCAGCTTACGGAGGCATCAGATACCTCTTATGTTTGTGCTAATTCTCCGGACATAGTAGGCCCTAAAATTTCTCTGGAGGATTTCCGAAACATGCCATCGTCATCATCCGGTTTGAACTTCAAAAACAGTGTTCATCAAGATGACAGGGTCAGGGAAATCCAATGGCCCGACTTTGGTGACACTACATCCAAATCACAGCATCAGCAGATGTTTAATAATGCTACGCATGCATGGCATAGTACTTTATCGGATCAGCCCGGGAGGATTTTAGCTCCATGGTCAGAACCAGAGTTGGATTTTCTTTGGATTGGAGTGAGAAGACATGGATTAAACAATTGGAATGCCATCTTAAAAGATCCAATCCTTTGCTTCTTGAGATCAAGGGTGGCAAAAGACTTGGCTGAACAATGGAGTAGAGAACATAAAAAGCTTCTTGATGATACACCTTCTCAGCCAACAAGACCGTATTCTGCACCGGCTCTCTCACCATCTCCTTTTATGCCGAGATCTGCAACACATGTTTGTTATTCTGGAAACATTAGTTTACCGTCAGGCCTTCAAACAGAGAGAGCAGAAACAACATTTTCCCCCAGAGGTTTATTCATTCATAATGAGAACACTCGTGGGAGCATTCCTGTGGGAAGAACTCCTGTGAATCATCATCTTGGCAGCAATCCAGCAAGATCTGATTACTCAACCACAGGAATTAGATACCCGAGGAATTTTGAAGCACACGACATCAAAAATCAGTTTGAGACATCTACTTTACATAGAGGATTACTTGAAACGCCCAGGCATGAGGTGCAATCTCCTCCGGGTAGTAGTATTACTCTTCCTCACTGGCTTAGTGAAGCACTGAAAAGAAATCAAGAGAGATTAGGATTGGCTGACCCAAGCACTGGGCGGTCTATACTTAAGAACGAGGAGAGAATCTATAATCCCAATTTTGAGAATTTACCTGCTCCAGATCATACTGTGGCTTCTCATGGAAATGCTGGCGGTACAAGGGTGGATGAACCATGGTTCCCAGAGAGATCATGCATGATTCCTGTTCGAGGCATAACTTTTCAGGGTTTTCCATCAGTTGATCCAGGATGGGATACAAAAAGTTTTGATTCATCTGCACCCAGTACCTTGGGTATGATTATTGGGGAAACATCCAAGGATGCAGTTGATGCAGGTTTAGGTCCAAATAATGCATTAGATTGGAATAAGAAAAGTTCTGGTTCAGTTGGACCCAGTAACTTGGGAATGATTCATGAGGACACATCCTCAGAAGACACCATATCAGATGATCAGATAGGAAAGAACCAGACATACAAGAAACTGGTTTGAAATTGGCCATTTATACAGGTTTTCTTTTCTTTCTTATGGGCCTCTCTATTTCTGCTGTTTATGCATGGCCATTTATGTTTCCCTTAATATATTGTTGGTGTAGATAATTATCAGATTAGGATGGCTATATTCACTTAAAGCTCTCTTTGTCTTCCTCTTGTAGACATGACAATGCACTGTTTACCAAGACTTCAATCTGCTAAGATGCATTATTGTGGAACTTATCCTATGACTTTTGTCTTCTTTGCATATGTACTTTTATACAAAGCTATTTCTTCTAAGGAAATTGAGTACCAAATTCTGTTAATTCTATTTTCTTAAAAAAGAAGATCTTGTTAATCTACATCCAAAAGATGATAAAGTAAACTTGTACTGTTTCTGGTTCTCATCAAGCAGATTAATCTACACATCAGTGTGTTATAGTTGTGGTAAACCAAGTCATTATGAATGTTATAATCTCGATATGTGAATGGATTACATCAGCAAAGTTTCTTGTTGTCTCTTGTATGTGCAAAAACGAGTCACTTGGATGAACTAACAAATTAAAGAGTTTCCAGAATGACAGTATAAAAGACAATATTCTCTTTGGTGTACTGTTACCCAAGAAGAGAGTCAACTAATTTCTTCATCATTTTCTCTTTAGATCAATGTGCTTGATCAGAAGTAGTGAAGCTAGGGATGTGGTATGACTTAAACTAATGAATTGGCTGCAAGCACAATTTTACCTTGAAAATGATCTGAAGGGCCAAAGTCTAAATTAGGAATATTCGATCTCCTGTAAGCTTCTGAAAGTTATTCATACTGGCTACTCTGACAACTTAAAATGTCAATTATATTTGAGTTTGTAATAATTTCCTTTGTTGTGAATCAGATAAGGAAATTGGGAGGTACCTGATGGCTTGACCAATCCACATTGGACAAATGGAACAGCACAAAACACAAGCAATTAACCAGAGATGTACAAATTCATTACGACTAAATTTCTCTTAAGAGGCTCACAATCAATCAAATAACACCTAAATTGCAAAGACAAGTTGCTTATAATTAGATATTCAGCTTTTCTAAAGAGTGAATCATACAATTCATAGGTTTTCTGTTGTCTAAGCTTGCATTACTGTGATGAATGATGCAAATACACAGGATAGAAATTAAAGTTCCTCTGGACCATGCTTGACGAGCTGCAGGATTTGAATCTTAAAACTAGTGAATTATTATCTTTTCCTTGCCTCACATATGACTGCACAATTAAGTGGTGATCAGATGCTTGGACCATATTGTGAAGAGAATGATCATGAGACTCACATTAGTCATCACTAATGATCTAAAAAACAAGGCTAATATACCTTCTCAAAGCCAAGCACCCTTTGCTCAATCACATGGACATGCCATTCTACTCCTCATTCTACCTTGTTAGATTAAGATCCCAAATCCAACAGTGACATGGGATACAACATCCAAAGTTACTGCTTCTAGAAGTTAAAGGTACTCATTCACTTCCCTTGTTCAAGAGAATGAAGCTTAGCTCCCTAAGCAGGCAAGCCTCAATAGGTTTTCAATGCTCGATCATATTAGACAGAAAACAACCAAGATGGCAAATAGTTGCCTTCTCTTTCATACAAATCTCAAGTAATGGTGAAATTTGATACTGCATTTTGATCACTTAAGACTTAAATTAGTCCTAGGTGTGTACTTGATATATAGATACAAGACTAGAGCCCGATGGCAGATGGGAGACTTAATGGGTAATGACTACAAATTTTGTCTTTGTTCCCTTCAAATAAAACAGATTGGAAAATTCACTACCTGAGGCCAAAAAAATCCTCCAAACTTACCAATGGATGATACCAAATCATAAAATTAGGAACAAGGAAAGACAAAAAGATGTTGTAGAGAACAGAATGGCTCACATTGACACAAGCTTTGGGCTGTCGTTCAGCATTACCATCCCAGCAGCTAACTCAGCATCGAGTGGACTGAGGTGCAGGTCCCATCATTTGCTTCAAGCTGCAAAAAATTGCATAAGATTTATAAGATTCAGGTGAAATTTGAGACTTTCAAGAACATGGCATTTTCATTTATCATTGATCAAGTAACAGAAAGACAATAACTAATTTCCGGTTTTTAAGTCATAAAACTATTAAAGTACCTAGAATATATCACACCTAGAATATATCACAAAGAAGTAATATTAGTTTTCAGGTTTCTTGGTTGATTTTGTTTCTTACAATTTCTACCCTGAACATTTTTTTCTTTTGTGAATAACCTGCTATCAGTTTCTAGTTATGAGGTCAAGACACAGCACCTCAAAGTATACAAGCTTGAACAACTTTCATGACTGAATAATTATCCCATCCAGAAAGAAGTTTCAATTGATAAAGAAGGATTGTCCTCCTCAATCAAGGCTTCATGATATCCTGGCCTATGTGTTCTATATGTAGTTTTTCTTTATTTGCTCATGCTGACCTTTAGATAGCTGTCTATGTACACGCCTTGTGCTAAACTCCAAAGTCAAGCCGTCTCCGCATGGTTCCTCCATGAGTTATTCCTACTATGGTCAATGACAATGTTATGTCATCATCATAACTTCCCAAAGTTCCCATTAATTTCATCCATGTTATTTTAAATATTTCCTCGATTTCTCCTTTGACACCAATCCATGCTGTTCTAGGGTCCTGGTAAGAACAAAATTGTTGATCACTTTTACTTGTAATATAGGCTGGGATGGAATTCTCCACTAAAAACAAGTTATCGATAACCTAGATATCTCTTTGGAACATGATTTCCGAAGAGCAACCTTCTAGAATGGTAAAGGATTAGGGAAAGATCTTACTCTGTAGAAGTGCTGCAGCAGATTAGAGAAAGAGATTTGCGTATGAGAATAATATATTCTTTTAACAGCAATCGAAGTTTGCAGACGCTAACTTTTTCTCCTTCCCATTTCTCAGGCTTTTCACTCCCTCCTCTTTTTACCTGTGCTTGGCAACTTTTTTTCTGTCTTCAAACTAGTGATCTTCCGTTCTTATGCAGGTTTCTGAAATGACAATATATATTGCTATTGTGCTAACTCAACAACAGCATCTCCTCTCACTGCTTATAGCCTAGAAAGACAGTTCAAATTCCAATCTATGGAACTGAAACACCTGATTAATTTTTGACCTATCAATCCTATGTGCAGTTGCCCTAACACTGCTCTTATCACATAACAGCAATTCTAAGAGCCAGTAACATAGTGCGGCAATATGCTACTATGCCATAAGCAATCACTTGTGCATCCGTCACCGGAAAAGATGAACTGAATTCCTCAATGATGCGTGGTATCCTATTCAATCAGTTGGTACTTAAAACGCCTACTTGCGCGAGGCAAGTTGGGTGTCAAAGTGATCTAACATGAAAGGAGATGTGAAATGTTTCTTAAAGAGCAGCATTAAACTCGATGCCACAATGAATTCTAGTTGATGAGAAATCAGAAACCAAATCTTTACTATCAAGCATCAAATCGGCCACAGGGGTACCGTTTCTTGTGGCGCTTCGAGCGGGAATGCTCATCCCGGACATCCTCATTAGCCGCCGCGTCCTCCGCCTGCTTCAGGATCTCGTTGTAAACCTCATCGTCGCGAGGTCATCCGAGACCAATTCCGTCAAGGAGATCGGTACCCGAGGGGATTGAGAGCGGAAGGCAGCAAAGAATCAAAGGAATTTGGGATTGAGAAGCCGGCGCTTCTTCACCTTCCTGTGCGGACACTTCCCTCCCATCTCTTCCGGCGCTTCTTATCACTCGCTTGGGGATCGTCGAGAAGGCGGCGGCAAAGGAGAGAGACGCGGAGGAACCCTATGAGCCTGAGGAAGTGCTTTTGCATACACCCTTCAAAAGCTTGGCATTTGCGTTTATTATCGATAGGACCGGGTTTGAGCCCAGGCCTGCGAAGCCCAGCCCATGAAGCCCAGTCCAATTACATGCTCAAGATATAATTTAAATTATCGATTTAAAAAAAAATAAATCAACAACACGATTAATGATGACTGGGCGGGGCTTTTGAGTACTACAGGCATCGCGGATGATTCATCGGCACACCGTTGATGCAGGTTCTTGGATACTACAAGCGCGCACGATCGCTCGGGTAATAGGAGCAACAGTTGCCGTCGTCTTCTTCTTCTTCTGCTTCCCAGGTAGGGCGTGGCTGTGATCTCCTTTTAAGTCCACCATGGCGTCGTCCCGAGTTCCTCTTCGCGTCTATCGGCCAGTCCGCGGAAGACCACCGCCACCGACCGCGGACGACGACGCCACTGGATGAATCCAGTGACGGACGACGCCGATGAGCTGTACGGAGTACGTGGAGCATCCAGCTCTCCGTGGTCCGCTTCGTCGAGCGGGGCCCGTCCAGACAGACCATGATCGACGAAGCCACGTTTGGCTGGGTCCCGCCCACCAGGACCCAGACACAGACGCCACTGGGGTAATCCAGTGACGGACGACGCCGACCGGCTGTACCTGTGGGCGCAGGATCCATCCCTTCGTGGTCACTTTGTTGGGCGGGGCCCACCGAAGGGGACGGTGGAGCCGGTCGAAGCGTGTGACGAAAGAAAGAAGATCGACCCTGAGCTCATGTCTGACAGCTATCCACCGCTCAGAGTCTTACGGACGAGCGTGCCGCAGGATTCCTCCCTCGACTGCTCAACTGATCATGGGCAGGTTAAGTCGACCTCTCTCATTGGCAGTCCAGTCGTCTCGCCATCAAGAAGACCGACAAACAGCCCAGCGACTTGGTTCTCGTCATCAACCCAAATACTAGCAACAAATTACCTCCTCGTTCATGTTTCCTTCTCTATATGCTTGTTCTTTCTGCGAGCGACGTCACGGGTGGCGCTAACGATTCCGTTGCATTGCAAAGGCTGCATCAACAATATCGAGAACACCATTCTGAGGGTTAGAGGTAGGGCTTGGTGATCCAGTTAGAAATTCGACCGTTTGATTGGGATCAGACGTACCAATCGCTCGGTGTTTCCTAGGAGTGAGCGAAGGTCGTCGGGGCAGACCGACCCACGTCACGTCTCACACGCGTAGGATCCCACCCAGCCGGACCAATCATCTGTGCGCAAGTCACTACGTGCTTTATACCTACGTAGTTAGCAAAATGCCGCAGACAAAGAATAGAGAACCACGCAACATATGGGAGCATTTGATAATTTAAGGCATTAAAAGGCTAGAGAGTACTAATCAAACTTATAATCCATAAAACAGCCTGAATTAGGAGAAAACCGGGAATTACCACTAAGGATCTCACCATAATTCATCCCTAGAATCACGGAGTCTGATTCAAACCTAACACGCCCAAGGCAGAGGAACCCAAGCGATCAAACTGCGAGACCTTTGGCTGGGGGATTGGAAGGAGACTTTTTCTTGGGCTTCTCCACTACGATGGCTTGTGTGGTTAGGAGCATTCCAGCGATGGATGCAGCATTCTGAAGTGCACACCTGGTGACCTTTGCAGGGTCGATCACACCGGCTTCCAACAGGTTCTCGTACTTGTCCGTCATTGCATTGTAACCAATTTCCCACTCTCCATCCTTGATCTTCTCCACCACCACTTCTCCCTCCACACCAGCATTTTGAGCAATCAAAGCTGCAGGTGCCACCAGTGCCTGTTCATTGCAATTTAAAAACCAAAGGATTTGCATCAGCATATTTAGGAACCAAATCTGATCAATATATGTTCTAGTGCAAAACAAGATTTTGCATCAGTGCCTGTTCATCGCAATTTAAAAGCCAAAGGATTTGCATCAGCTCATTTATGAACCAAATCTGATCAATGTATGTTCTAGTGTAGAACAAGAATTATTTGCATGGTACATCTCCAATCCAACCAAAGAACTAATATTGATAACAGATACAAAATGTGTTGGATGTTGGTATGACCATATCCAAATCTTTTTCATCAACAAAAAAGTGATGCTGATATGCAGCACTCGAATATATTTAAAATGGATAAGAACCAAACAATATTCATAACCATCTTGACATGGGTGTGCATCAATACCAGATCTTGTGGTAAATAGTTATGCGTGTATATTGGTCAATCAGTATTAGAGATCAGAATACACATGTATGTGTATGTCAATACTTGGTCATTGTATGCATGTAATGAGATAACCGGTTGAGATCAGGTAAATATACACCCTGTAAAAGCAGCATTATATGATTGAAAATTTATCAATATATATAACTGAAGTACTCAACTAATAGGATAAGAAATGGAGGGTTCAAAAAGAGATATATTACTAAAATAACAATGAGATTCACTTTGGATTTTGTGTTTTGATCACTTATTTTCTGGGCATTCTGATAACCAGATTTGGATAAAATTAAACCTATATTTGTATCAGAAGTGGGAATATTCAGCTGACAAGACAAACTTATATAGGCAAATACAAGGCAAGCATTGCATAACAATATCTGGCTACTGGCTAGACTCTGACATGGGAGCAAATAGGTCCCTAGAATTTTAGGACAAACAGAACTTA